TGGTATTAAAGAATAAAAATCAGCTCGTGAAAGTCGAATGTGAATCTAATATGTTGGAAATAAAAAATAAATTCAAAATTATTCGATTTAGAATTAAAAAAAGTTGTTTCACCAGATTTTTATTGTAATTTACAAAAAAATCAATATTTTCATATTGAGAAATTTGTCAGATGAACTTTTTAAATTTGATATAAAATGAAAATCTTTTATAGAATATTGAATATATATTATTTTAATTGATGAATAAACTTCTAGAGAATTATTTTGAATAGATTTAATTCAAGCAGATATATTACATAAACATATTATAGAATTTTATATAAATATTAACAATTTATCAATAGAATAAGATTTTACACTTGATTTATATATTCATTTTTCTATAGAAGAAAAACAATATTTAATTCAAGTTAAAACAATTGTTGATAATATTATAAATAAATCTATTCAACTTATTCATACAATTAATAATAAAGTTCGAGATCGAATTAATAAAATGATATTAGAGATAATTAGGTTAACCATTTTCAGTTCTATCTCAATCACGATCGATATATAATGATTTACTTCTACGATTAATATTCAACAACTAATTTCTATAAACTATAAAGACAACAAATAAAAAGAATTTCAAGTTGATTAATAATAATATCTATTGATAAAATTAAAAATCATTTTTTAGAAGATGCATATGAACCTATGATAATAAATAATTCCTAAACAATATAGATTATTTTACGCAAATCAACGTCTACTTTTTCATCAAACTAAACGATCAAGAATTAATCGAATTACACAAGATGCTTTCGATGATCGAGTTTCCGTTCCAACTGGAGCATAGGGACTAATCAAACATTAGATTGAAACTTTTTTTTTTTTTTTTATAGAACTTTATTGGATCTTTATATTTAATACTACTTAGGATTATTCAAATGTCGTGATGGAGCTAATTTATTTTCTTATAGAAGGCTTGATAAAATTTGCTTTTTGTATCCATCGATAGTAAAAACCAAACTCTATTTTTCTATGGTAGTGGATCATTCTTCAACTAAAATCATAATAAGAAAATTGTCCATAATAGCTGTTTTTTCTATGAAATATGAGATTATAAAAATGTCTATTTAAAAACAAAAAGGATGAGTAGAGATTTTTTGAATAATTTTCAATAGAAACAAGATAGAGAGGTGCGATTTTTACTATTGGAAAAAGGAGATGAAGACATATCGAATCATATATGAAAAGGTTTTTCTGTCTACTTTCCTAAGAGTTTTAGTCAAATGTTTTCAAAAAATTGATTTCTTTTCCTACGTTAAAAAAGCGATTTTTCATCAAAATCACTAGAAAAACTGACGTTTTTCGATTATTTTCTTGAAAAAATGGAATAGTAAATTGCATTTCAATGACTAGAATATCTTATTGGTAGTTGTTAATAATAGTGTCTTTACATAGTTTTGTAGCTCTTCATTTTCCGGTTCTATCACACTCCTCAAAAATAAATTAATTAATATGCCGATCATGAGAGGCATACTGTTTTATAAAACTTTTATGTAAAACTTTTAGGAAAGTAGTGAAAAAAATGTTTTCATATATGGTTCGACATATCTTCATCTTCTCTTTCCAATTTTGAAGACCGCATCTCTCTAGGCCAATCCGTTGAAAACTTATTCCAAAAATAAGCAACCGTCTTCGTTTTTTGAAATTGACATTAGATTATGTCTGGATTAGTTCAATAATTTGTAAAGACAAGCCTTTTATTGTTGAATATCGTAATCGAATTTTCGTATTTAACATATGTACAATTTGAATAGTTTTAATCGAAAGATTTTCCTATTTGACGTATACTTATTTAAAGACTGAGAATCAACAAAACAAAAATTCATATTGAATTTTTCAACTGAAATTAATTTTAAAAAAAATCCTGATAAATTATATGTTATAGGAGCTTTTATTTTTCTCAAATAAATCCGATAAATGATTGAGATAAATGGAATAAATTTGAAGTGAAAATATAAAATAGATTGTTTTTGATAGATGATCTTAATAATAAGTTAACCTAGATATTAAATTAACTTACGAAACGAATTGATTTAATCTATTATTTTCTTATGTTTACTTTTATTTTATATGAAACAAATCAAATAAATTCATCCGATATGAATATTTGAATTATTTCGAATAAATTAAACAAATTATTTTCTATTAATTTACTAAGAATGATAATCATTAAATAAAAGATTTCAATATGTTTTAAATCTAAAATAAATTCAATTTATATTAATGATTTCTATAATTGAGGAGATTTTTCTGATGATCAACAAAAATCTCATTGTTATAGAAGTAAAGAAAAAATAGATAAAACTTGTTTTATGTTTTAGAATAAACTATTATTAGATAATCAATTAATATAAAATCGAGTAAATAAATAATTTTGTTTTATTTAAAGATTGTTTTTAATATATTATTATTAAAATATTGAATAAAGATAGAATTTTATTTTATTTTATGTTAAATATTTATTATATATTCATATTTAATAACATTTTCATTTTTACTTTTGTTTTTTCAAACACCGAATTCCAATGCTTTTTTTTCTCATTTTTCCAATAAAAATTAAATAAAGAAAAATTCTTAAGAAGTTTTTTCAATGTGTTTTTAATTAATTGTCAATCGAGACCGTTTTATCTATATAAATCGAATATTTTCCTCATTTATTTTAGTTTTTAAAGAGGTTCATTTCGATAACAATCATTTATTCAGGAAAAAAGTTCATTACGAATATAATCTAGTTGCTTTTATCTCCAAAAGAAAAACATATCTATAATAGACAGTTTTCTTTTTTTCAAACTCTTTTTCTTGATATTATTCCCAATCGAAAAAAACATTTTATCTCTGAATAGAACAAAAAATGTTTGAGAATTTTTTCTCGATAGATATTTTATGTCTTTTACTATTTTCCAGGTATAAAATCATCTTTTAAATAAAATATAAAAATTTTATCAATAATTATCTCAAATATGTTCTTACATTGAGAGTCAACTTCAATATAATCTATTTGAAAACTGTTCTCAACTGTTAAAAGACGTTCTTCTCATGGGTCTTTATTTAAAATCTGACTCAATTTTATACTCATATTGAATATAATTGTCAATATATTCGATAAATAAACAATTCTAGATTATTACTATTATTTATAAATTAAATATAAAATATTTAACAATAAATATACTTTATTTATCTCAATAATAAGTTAAATTTTTAAAAAATCATTTAGTTTTTGCTTCTATAGTAATATAATTTGCGAATTAACTTAAAAAAAGGAGAAAATTTTTATTAAAAAAAGTAAAATCTTTTCTTAAATAATAAAAGGATAAACAATGAATTAAAATATATATTTATAGAATAATTCAGTTCAATATCATATTAACTATAATATTATCTATTTAAACAATTTTTATTTAAATATTTTATTTTATTTTATTATTGGAAAGAAAATAAATTAATTCGATCGATCAATTATTTTCAATAAAATCTTTATATATATTGATAAAAGAATAACGCGTTATCACTTCAAATATATTCATTATGAAATAAATCAATTTAATTATTAAACTGATATATAATCGATTAATTAACAAGAATATTTATTTAAATGATAGTTGAAATAAACCAGTGATCATATATTAATAGAAGAATTTTTAAGAAAACGGAATAAAACGAATTAATATAAATGTAAGTTGAATTATTTTATGTTAAATCAATATAGATTTAAATAATCTTATTCGATCAATTGAAATATATAAGAATAATATAACGATTGTTTACTATATAAAGATTGTTTATTTCGGATTGAAATCGTTGATTCTGGAAAAAAAAACCCTATTTATTTATTTATTTCTCTCCTAAAAATAAATATTTTATTTTCAAATAATTTAATCTAAAATATATTTATTGAAAAGGAATTGATTTTATAAAGTTTATTCAAGAATAAAATAAATGAAAAAACGATTCGATTATTCTTATTTCTAAGTTAATAATTAAATATTATTCAATGAAAATCTATTCGATTAGAAATATTCTTACAGTTTCAATTCGAATTCTATTCATATATTAACTCTTTTCATTTAAAATTGTTAATCGTTAATGTCTATATAACTAAATAATTATTTGAAATAATTCAAAGAAAACTCTACAATGAAATTGAATCGAGTTTTTTTCTTTTAAACAAAAACAAGAGAATGTTTTAAAATAGTTTATTTAAGAATGTTATGATGAAGAATTGTTTTCTTGTTTTAAATATATTTATTGATGAATAGATCAATTCTAAGATAAGATTGATCACAATAATGGTCGGATCTTTGTTTTAACTTTATTCCAAGATATAATCATAGTCACGTAGAATATTATTATTATCATTCAACAAAGACAAATTAAACAAAACAGCATTTACAAATTTTTTTTTTAACTTATTTTATATTCAACTTATTATTCATAGAAATTTTATCTTATTTTGATAAAAACAAAAAAAAAAAAATCTTATTTATCTAGATTATAAAATTTCTAGATCGAATTTGACCAATGACATTGAAAATAAAATATCGAAAACAAATCTTATTCAATCAACAATCTTCTAGAGAATTCATTTATGATATAGTCAACATTTTTCGATAAGTTTATATTAATAAATCAATATCTAGAAAGGTCTTATATACCATATTAGATGAAACTGATTCAAATTTCTAGAGAATATTCAATAAATTATTTTTATTTAAAAAAAAAAACGAGACCAAACTAACTCAATGTAAATAAAGGTGACCTTGAGAGATTGTTCTCATAAAGTGAAATAATTGATTGGTGGTTGATCATATTTATTTGATTAGACGACCATTGAAGAATCTAAATATGTTTCTATCATTGAGAGAGAAGGAGAAAAAAAACAAGTTCTTGTCATTCTAAAAGTGTTTTTAATCGATTTTATTGAGTGAATGAATGATGATAGTTGGTGCCATAGTTATGGGTATGTTGTTCAATCTATTTAAATAGTCATTTAGTTGTCAAATATTCGTTCTAGATTGAGTGAACATAGATCGAACAAACATGATTCGGATCATTAATCTCATTCAATTTCTTTAGTTCAATAAATATTCGTTTTTTTTTTTTCAATATAAATAACAAACATAATAGAACTTTTTCAACGATTATTCAAAAGAATAATAGCTAAAAGGCATTTGGAGATTTATTACTTAAGATATTATTTTATCAATCAAATAGAAAAATAGAAGATTTTTTTTTAAAACTAAAAAGAATCTAGTAAACGTGCCTTATCACATATATGATATAAAATGATCATTAATCGATATTGATTCTTTGGATAAAATTGATATTTAAAAAAGGTGAAGAATTCTATATTATAGATAGAATAGATAGATAGATCAGAATAACATAATAGACATTCAAAGATAAATACCGACAAAAGATATTCGAAAGAGATACATCAATCAGTTCATTTCGATCATTTATTATTTATTTCATTCGTTAACAATAATATTCATAAAAAGTTTTTTTTTTATTTAAACGAAATTATTTTCAAATATTCTAATTCAAAGAAAAATAAATTCTTTTTTATTTTCTTAATAGAATTAAATCAAATTTTTTTTATTTCGAATTTAATTAAAATAAATATTCATTCGATTCATATTAAATTAATATGAAAAATTTTTCGATTTTATAAAACCTAACAAATTATTTCCTATAAAACAAATCGTTTTTTATCTTATTTCAAATTCAATTTTAAACATTTCACTTTGTCAAATCAATATGAATTAATCGTTTCTATTCTTGATTTCGCTCTGACTATGATTAAATATATTATAGAAACATTGATCATATCAAAATCTTAGAAGATCTTTCACAATTGATTTATTTTCAATATTTATCTTTCGAAAATATTTCTTATTCATAGATATCATTCAATAGACACATTTTTATTTTATTCAACTATTTATATCTAAAACTATTTAATAAACAATATTTAATTATAATTTTAACTTTACTCAATCGAAATAATTAACTAAGACTGATACTTTTTTATTATTTATCTTAATAGTTAAATAAAAATCGTCTACTTATATTGAATTGAAAGAAATTTAAATAAATCTCAACGATAAATCGATTATCTTATATAAAATTTAAAATCTTATTGAAAATGATAACGATATATTATTTATTTATTTTTATTAAATATAATTGTTTATTATATATGAAAATATTGATTCGAGAAAGAAAATCAATTTTACTATTAAATCATATTCAACAATTCAAAAACAATTTACTATTTTATTGATATTGAAACGATAAATATCTTTAATTATTCCTCTTCTATTATTAATTATAAAATATGAAACAGTTTTTAGTTGAAAAAAAAAAATTCTCTAAAAAGAAAAATTCTTATTCTATAATAACTGTTAGAAATATAAAATAAAATAATAAATTTGAGAATAAAAAAGATTTATTCCGAAAAAAAATAATCTATCATTGTGATGTTTTTTTTTCTTGTATATATGTTCGAAATGATTGATTTATTTCTTAGATGTTATGTTTGTTCGATAGATGAAACATCGATATATCGACTCGACTCATTCTTCTTTTTTTTTCTCTTTTCTTTTTACACCAATCAAAAATAAGATCGTCGAAGAACATGTTGATAGAATCTTGATTGGTTATACTCGTTGTGTCCCTTGTCAGAGAGAGGAAAAAAAAAAGAAAGAAAAATCGATATTTCTCTCTTGATCGTAGCTTTTTTTTTTATGATATCCATTAATCGATTTAATGGGTCGTTTTGTGTGACAGGGTTTGCTTACATAGATTTCTCTCATCATTTGATCAGTTGATCTGTAAGAGTCTCTTTACAATCATTAATAACATCTATCGTAGAGGATCATTTACCGTTACACTTAGCTTAATAATCAGTCAGTTCACTTCAATCTGAGACTATCATTAACAAGAAAAAAAAACAGAAGAGAAAGAAAAAGAAAAAAAAAACATGAGTTCTCTATCGTCCTATCCAATAGCTTCATCTCTCCATACGATGAACAATAATAATAATAATAATAATCATCATCATCATTATGGAACTGACGGACTAAATATAAATTATACTCAAAGAACACATCAATTATCTGAAAACAGTATTAATATGAGAAACGAATCTTCTTCGAGTTCATCATGTCTTCTACAATCACCAATTGTTGATTATTATGGTCAACATTCATATAATCAAACACAAAATCGTACACTACAACATTATACTCATCAAAATCATCATATTTATCAAGATAATACAAATCATTTATATAGATATAATCTTATTCCATCATCATCATCATCATCAAACATTCTACCAAGGTAACATTTTATTTTAAATTAACAAAAAAAAAAAAAAAAAAAAAAAAAAAAAAATTAATATTAATATTATTAGTTCTTGTGTATATCCTTGTTCAAATAGTTCAAATATAAATTATAATCACCAAAATGTTGTTTTATCATGTTCAAATAGTGTTCAACAATCAGATATGATTAATTCAATAAATCCAATGACAATTGATCTATATGGTTTATCAATGAGTCCTCCTCAAGGTTCATCATCAATTCTAGGAAATGGTTCATCATCATCTCCTCGACCATCTTCAACTGATCATATAACAACAACAACAACAACAACAAATTCTAATGATATTATTCCATTATCAACATCAATTGATTCAATATCATCATCATCATCATCAATATCAAAACAACAAACTCCTCCTGTTATTTATCCATGGATGCGAAAAGTCCATATCAACAATCCAGGTTAGATATTCTATCGTAGATATCATGTGTTGTTTTGGTTTTGTTTCGGTTTTGATGAGAAAAGAAAGAGTAAAGAGTAAAGAGTAAACTATTGATGATGACAGGCAACATCGACAAGATTAATGATTCAATGTGAGACACGTGCAGTCAGGCACCATATCAATTATTGATTTGAATGAAAAGGAGGAGAGAATAACACACGATCAGAACATTAATTCAATCCTATAGAACAAACCAGATTGAGTTATTTATTAATCGACCAACACCGATCAAATTTGATGTTTTTTTTTTTTGTTTTTTTTTAAAATAATAATCTTATCGTTTATCTAATCATTGATTATTTATTTGTCACATAAATGAATATGATTAACTTTGATTTAATATGTTTATTTTGTTCGACACGTTTATTTGAATGTATATTTAATGATTGAAGCAAATATCATTTCGATTGAAAATGTCAAACATATATATTCTCTCAGCTTGATTCATAGATATATGTTATATTCACTTTTCAATAGAATATTTAACCTTTACCTTTTAAAACATTCAACAACAGACTTCATTTATCATTAGACTTTACAGAAATCAACTTCAAATAAAAAAACAAAACAAAACAGTACTCCTCTTATCATTGAATAAATACGTGACCAAAATTTGCTCAATATAAGAGAATAAACGAGAAATATTATATTAATTATGATAAAAATACCATTTTTTCTTTTATTCTTAAATAGCCGATCTATTTTAACAGACAGTTGAACTAATATATGGATAAAAATCGAAATAAATATATAAAAAAAAATTCTTTTTAAAATTTAGTTATTAATTATACAAATGGAGAAACAAAACGAGCTCGTACAGCTTATACTCGTCATCAAGTATTAGGTAAAGATAAATATCGTTTTTTTTGTTAATTTTTTTATAAATAAATTGATTAATTAATTAAATAGAATTAGAAAAAGAATTTCATTTTTCGAAATATTTAACTCGTCGACGACGAATTGAAATAGCTCATGGACTTGTTTTAACTGAAAGGTTATTTTTATTTTCGAATATTATTAATTATATATGAATATATTTTATTTATTTTTTTATTTAAAGACAAATCAAAATTTGGTTTCAAAATCGGTTAGTTTAGTTATTTAATAAAAAAAAAAAAAAAGGTAAAAAAAAGTTTCTATATTATAATAGAAGAATGAAATGGAAAAAAGATCATAAATTACCAAATACAAAATCTAAATTACCTGATCAATTACCAGCAGCATCAACATCATCAGATTCTTCATCACCTAATATAATAAAAAAAGAAGAACAAGAAGATGATTTAGATTCAATTCGAATGTCAACTTTTATAAAAGAAGAATCATTCGAGAATGATGATTCTTCGAATTAATATATTCAAGAATAATTTCTTTTCTTTTTTTCTTAATTGAGGATGACATTCTTTAAATAGACATGATCATCTATTTTTTATAACAAAAACAAAATCTTCTATTTAGACTTTTTTTTTTTCTTTTTTCTTGCATATATTCATCTTTGTCTGAATGATTTTTTTCTTATTGTTGTTGTTCTTGTTTTGTATTATGTCATATAAGAGCCAAAATAAACGAATCTCAATAATTCAACATATTACTCGCCTTTTTTTTTCTTCAATTTATTTATTATTAAATATTCAATATTGAATATTAGTTTAACTTGTTCGAGTTTATCTCAACATAAGATAAATAAACATTTTATTGTTATATTGAAAATTTTCAATAGTTATTATATAATATAAACAATTTTCTTTTTTACTTTTTCAAATCTCTTTAATGAAATGTGAAGAATAAAAATATTCTTATATGTTTTTTTCTCTCTTTCTCTTTCTCTCGTCTCTTATTGTTAAATTGATAAATGATCAATTCAGTTAAAGTAAGACAAATGACAAATTCATATGGTTGATCTTCTGTTTTTTTTTTCGTTGTCGTCGTCAGATGGTTATCGTGTCTTTGAATGAAACATGCGGCATGACATTTTATTTAACTTTTTTTCTCGTTTTTTTTCTTTTTTTATTCTTGTCCAACTGCATCGTTTGATCATCGATAGAAAGGAAAGCGAATCATTAATAATCTTATTCGTTTTTTTCTTTTTTCTTTTTTCTCTCTTTCTTGTCTTTTCAACAAACAGACAAGAATAAAAAGAAATATCTATCTCTCTTTCTCTCTCTCTCTCTTGGTTGAAAGACCGATAGAAACAACGAATGTATGTATATATATATATGGTGAAAAAGCTCATTTGTCTTGTTTGGGCGAACATAGTTTATAATGAGTTTTTCTTTTCCTCAACTGACATAGTCGCTCGAGACATGCTCGCTTCTTTCGACTCATTTATCTAAATAGTCAATGTCGATGTAACGACTAACCAATCTAGAGAATACAACGATCAATGATATAGACAAACTAAACTTCTACACGATCAACTAACTCAGACAACATCTTTCTTTTTTTTTTTTTAGCACGCACATTAATCAATAGATTTATCAATAAACATGACATTGAAAATCTTTTCTTTTTTTTTTCCTCTTTATTTTTCAATATAGAAGAGAGAAAACATAATCGATTTATTTCTACGTTAAAATTAATATTAATCTTAGAGAAATTCTTTTAAAAAAATGAAAAAATCAATCGAAAAAAAAGTAAAATAAATGATCATTGAATAGAATTGAGAATAAACATATTTAATAAAGTAAATTATTTCAAGATATTTTTTATTATCGTTTATAAATATATATTGACATTTTTTAGTTTTATTTAAATAAAAATCAATTTATATTTTAAATTAATTCGAAAAAGATTTTTTCATAAAAAACTATTTGGAACAAAATTGATATTAGACCAGTTTAGAAAATCGAATTATTTATATCTATTTATAGAATTTAAAATATATCTTAAATTGAATAAGATATATATTTCATTTAAATATTCGTTTTTTTTTTTCTATATTATTCAATAAATAATCATTATAGAATAGAATATAATCTAGAAATCATTTTTTATTATTATATTCAATATTAAATAATATACTCAAACAAAAAACAAACCGATCAATTCGGAGTAAAACTATTCATTTTCAAAGAGTACGACGATTATTCTTGTTTCACTTTTTTTTTCAAGAAAATTATTCGAATAAATTATATTTTTATTTCTATTTGATTATTTTTCTATATATTCTCTTATTGATAAATCAACCGAGATTAACAACCAAATAGATTTTCTTTCGTAGGTCATGAAAATCTAAGAGAATAGATTTTCAAAATGAACTTTTGTTTTTTTTTAAATATTAAAAAAATATTCTGATTAGAATAATTCGATTCATTTTCAGTATCATCGAAAACTTCTTGTTATCAGACTAAATGAAAAAAATAAACAAACTCGATTTTATCAACAATTTTTTTTTCTCTAGAGATTTATTTTTAAAAATCTTATTAAGTTAAAAAATTCGAAGAAATATTTCTAAATATATGTTTTTATTTTTGGTTAAACAAAGATATTAAATCAGTTCGACAACTGATAGAAGTTTATTCGTTATATTAAGATAACAATTCTACTCAATATAGATTATTTACTATTATAATCAATTACTTTTTTTAAATCTATTATTAATTAAAATAGAACGATTCATTTTCCTTCACTTTTTATTTCAAAACAAAAATATCCAAACCTCAGATTTCGAGTAAGAACAATATACCAATCATATCTCAAATCAATCTAATTTATAGATTTATCAATGTTAAACATCGTCGAAATCGTTTCTATTACAGTTTAATATTTATACAACTCGATTTTATATTCAAATTTTTATTCTTAAACAAATTTTTTCTATAATAAACATATTTACTTACGGTCAACCAAAAGTTGTGATCACCGTGTTTAAAGGATCTTGTCAGATAAGGTTATCTATTCATAAAGGAATAATCAAATATACCATCTTATAGACCTTTTTACGGCACATAGAATAATATATAGGAAATCATCTTTTTATAAGACTTTCAACAAACTAAACTCAATTTACTGATAGATGACTACACACAAAAACTTACACTCACACCCGACCATCATTGGTTACTCAATATTGGGCTCCTTTATATTAGTCGAAAGTATTTGGAAAATATTTTCTTCTCACATACGATTTTCTAGAGTTTTTGACGGACTACAATCTGATATAAGTAGCATCTTCGGTCATCTTGTCGGTGTGGGTGTGTGAGCGTAGTTGTCTATCAATAAATTGAGTCTAGTTCGTTGAAATTCTTACGAAAAGAGGATTTCCTATATACGATTCAACGCGCTGGAAAAAGCTCTATAAGATGTTATATTTGCTTTTTCCTTTTGTGAATAAATAATCTTATCCGAGAAGATCCTTTAAACATCGTGATCAGAACTTTTGGTAAACTCTAAGTAATATAGTTTGGTTTGTTTTTGTTCGAATCAATGATTATTAAATAGTCTTAAAATTGATTGTTTAACATAATTGATTTATTTCTCTGTAATTTATTTGTTTCTCTATTATCTATAAGCTGAGTCACTTTTTCCTGAGCGAACATTTTTAAATATGAGATATATTTGACAAATTTGTCAACATTTATTTAATTAAATATTTTATTCAATAATTATAATTGAATATATTATTTCATTAACAATCAACTCTAAAACAAAAGATTGTTAAAATAGAAAAATTCAATCGATATACAGGGTGGCCCAAAAGTCACGCACCCGAAAACAAATTGAATATCTCTATAACGGCTCTAGCAAACTGGCTGATTTTTTTACCACTAGTAAACGCATATTTACACTCCATATCCATAAAGACAAGGCGAGAGTGAACCCTTTTTTTAAGTGTCACTATTGACTTTAACCAAAAAATTTTAATTTTTCACAGGTGGAAAAAAAACAATGTAATGGGTGGCGCAAAAGTCACTTTACCGAAAAAAAGTTGAATATCTCCATTACGGCTCGAGCAAACTAGCTGATTTTTTTATCAATTCTAGAGGTATGTTCAAGATTTATATCCATAAAGACATGCCTAAAGAGATCCTTTGTTAAGTATATTGGTTTTTTTCATCTGTAAAAAAAAGTAAAATTTTTTTGTTTCGATTAATAGTGATACTTAACAAAGGACTTCTCTAGGCATGTCTTTATGGATATAAAGCTTGAACATGCCTCTAGCATTGATAAAAAAATCAGCTAGTTTGCTCTAGCCATAATAGAGATATTCAATTTTTTTTCGGGTGCGTGACTTTTGGGCCACCCTGTATAATTAACTGATTATTTATTATTCAAGATATTTTAACTTATTTTATGATTGAATCATTATCTATCAACTTGGATGACCATTCTATAAAATATAGATCATTCAATTGTTAATACCAAGGGACATAATCATCGACCATAAACCATAAACCTAAATCAATAAGATAGTGGATGGAGAATTTATCTACCAAATTTAATCAGTAAATATTCGTCTCAATGAAATTTTATGTCGAAATAGAGAAGTGAAGAGAACATGCATCAACACCAATGGATAAAATATATGCGCAATTAATCGTATGATAGATTAATAAATATATATGCCTATCTATAGATATAAGGAGAAAACAACTCTATAGATAAGAATATCAACAAAATCTAACTACTATTATATCAAGGATACATTGATAGATAACATTCTATCATTATCTTAAATGCATTATTTGTCTCCATCATAGTTAGATTAGTATAGGAACTAGTTATATATATAACAGTCGATTTTATTTACGAATATTTAATTTATATTAAATAGAAAAAGAATGTAGAATTTAAAAAAAAATAATATTCATTCAATATATCAATAGGCTTGTTATAATTGACATTTCTATGAACTAATTCTTTTCTCACGAGTGGATTTAGTGAATAGTTATTTTTATATAAGACTGATTATTGACCATCTGATTTTTTCATATCTCTAAATTTTTGACAACTCAATTTCAGCATACTTGTACAGTTGAGCTATTTGGATTGGAAGAAATAATATTATATCTCAATAAAAGTGAGATTATTCTCGTTGAGAGTTAATCATATTCCACCTTTTCTTACCATCATATCCACAACTACTCATATTTATTTTTCGAATTTGATACTAAAATTTCATACTTTTTTTATTTCGAGGCTAATACTGTTTTTCAATTTTTCAAATATATATTATAAAGTTTTATCTTAGATCTACTTAGTTATCTATTTTAGAAATATAACATTTTTAGTAGGATACTTTTATTATGAAGAGATATGTTTTTGTTTGAATAACATAGAAAAGATTCATAAAAATCTTCTAGTAACGTATCCGAAGAGCTAGAATAGGCGCAGTTCACTCACCACTGAAAAG